TGGCTCAGTCGGTTGAGCGTCCGACTTTGGCTCGGGTCATGATCTCAGTGGTTCGAGCCCCACATCGGGCTCTGTGCTGACAGCTCGGAGCCTGGAGCCTGCTTCGGAATCTGTGTCTCCCTCTCTCTCTGCCCCTTCCCCACTCGTGCTCTGTCTCTCTGTCTCTCAAAAATAAATAAAAATGTTAAAAAAATTTTTTTAAGACAATATAGTTCTGGCAGAACTAAAGGTGAGTTAATATTAATATATAACATCAAGAGCCATGTTACTCATTTACTACCTAACATGTACACGAGGGAGTCAGTTTTGTTTCAGTCTGTTCTGAAGCTTGTGTGTAAGAAACGAGGAGCAAAGGCAAGAGAAAGTGAAGGCCATCAGACAGCTGCCACAGGGCACAGATGAACCCGCAAGGGACATGAACAGGGAGGCCTTTGAAGACAAACAGCAGGAGGAGTAATCCTGACAATGTGACCGGTTCTACTCACGGAAGAAGGTCACCTACCTCAGCATTTCTTTTCAGCTCCTCAGCCTCAGCTTCTGTGTACTCCATATCTAAAACATCCTCATTTCCAGAGTCCTCATCAGAACCCAATGAGTCCAGAAAAGAGTTGTTAAACTCTGAAGAATACAAAAATGTTGTAAAAGTTCTTAGAACAGACACAAAGAGGTAGGATTAGAAAAGTAAAAAAACAGCTTGGGGTACACATTTTATCATCCTATGGAAACATAAAACATATTATCATTAGGGTTCCAATTTACCCAGCCCACTCTGAGGAATAACAATTCAGGTACCAGGTATCTATAAAAGAAATGTCCCTTTTTCTTTTAAATATATTTATATGAAAGGGATAGGACTCTAATAAGAAAGAAATAAAACTGAAAAAGAGAATATGATTTTACAGATAACCCAATTTCACTACATTCCACATTCTATAAACTGTATGTTAGGTTTGAAGTACTTGGTGCATATTGTGGATGCCCCAGCAAATACAAACCACCTCACAGAAAAGAGACCATAGAAAATTAGTATCCTTTCACATTCTTCAACATTAACTCTTTTGAAATTTAATATAATGGTATCTAACCTTGAATTTAAGGTTCACTTAAAATATACTACACTAATAATTAAATCCAAGATCCACTTTTTTCTTTAATGATGAGCTTCTACTGAAAGAATCCATCTTTAGTAATGACTTAAATAAAGAGTCCCAGAAGCATTTGTAGGTGTCTCTTTGCTTTAAAATACAATTAATCCCACTTAAAATCATAGTATAGAGTTATTTAAAAGACACGAACACTTATGAATGGGAAGAACAGAGAAAGAGACTATAGAATCAGAATCCTGAAAGCTACAAAGTAGATGTTGACGGACTTAGCAGACCTAGGAAAGCCAAAACCAAATCTTAAGCCAGTAACAGAAAAGTTGAGAACCAATCCAATTTAAATCACAGACTCTTGGGGCGCCTGGGTGGCGCAGTCGGTTAAGCGTCCGACTTCAGCCAGGTCACGATCTCGCGGTCCGTGAGTTTGAGCCCCGCGTCAGGCTCTGGGCTGATGGCTCGGAGCTTG